ATAGTTAGTTTACTATAGAATTGGCTGCCAGCCTTGTCTTTGGTGTAAGATCTGTAGTACCAGTTGATCTGGGGTGACTGGTCTCTTGGGACTGGGAGAAACCTGATGTGGTGTGATTTGGGGTTTAAAGAATCTTTTATCACAAAGTTCAGCCTGCCTGGGTGGCAAGATAGACTGGAGAGTCTAAGGGGACTGTCTGTGATTCCATGGTGGGCCTGGTAAGAGTGATCCAGGAGTTCACATTTGTTACTGGCTTGGGGAAATATAATTATCTACCACACCACCAGTTTGGGGTGTCTGCCCTTGTTTTCTGACAGTCTGCCCTGAGGTAGTCGTGAGCCACTCCAGTCAGCGTGACAGTTTCACAATGGCTCCTTTGTGGGTCTTCTTGGTGGGCAGGACCTAACACCTTCTGTAGGAAGCCAGTATTTCTACATTAATTAATGCTCCTTTCTGTTTGATGATTTACACAATTACGGATGATTACAATGCAAACACCTCATACAATCTTATATACCCTTACAGGGTACAGATGTTATAAGTAAGATTAATACATGCAGCATCCTACAAGTCTTCATAAATTCTAAACAATAAACATATTCTTATAAATCTAAGTCATATTTTAACAATACTAACACACAGGTGAGTTAGACTGATTTCGAGCTGTGCATCTGTCAGTGTTCAGTGAGGCCTGGGGCCTTGGCATGAGCTGGCATCTGGGCTCCTAGCAACACATACCTCACTCCCCTTCCCCCCGTCCCTATTATGATTTTAGTTGTCCCCATAGGGTGACCTTTGTGTCTCTGTGGCCATTCCCCTTTTCTGAGGGAGGGTGGCCATTGCCATTCCTGTCGGTCAAAATGGCTAAGCCAAATTCTGCTCTGAACAACACTGGGGTAAATTCAGAGTAGAGCTGGTTGGAGGAACGTCAGTGGAATCATATTCTGTTAGAATGTACTGTTCCGTTGAGAAGTTCATTTAGGAAGAAGAAAGGGGGGAAAGGTTTAGACAATGTCAAAACAAAACATTTCAATTCTTCATTTTGAAAAGACTATTCATTTTGATTATTTAAAATTCTGTATGGAAATGAAATGTTTTCAACAACTTGAAATGAAACAAAAATTCCTTTGCAGAGAACTTCACATTTTTCAAATTTGGAATGAAGTCAAATTAGAACTCTGGAATTCGTTCTCCAAGCAGAACTTCCATCCTTCGCACAGCTCTAATTCAGAGCAATTCCATTTGTAGTCAGTGGAGTTCCTCTGTATTTATACATACATTGTTCAAAAAACCTTGATTGTCAGGGTTTGTCTACACAGCAAAGACAAACCCCCAGCTGGCCCATGGGGGAGGGGTAGCTCAGTGGTTTGAGCATTGGCCTGCTAAACCTAGGGTTGTGAGCTCACTCCTTAAGGGGGCCATTTAGGGATCTGGGGCAAAAATCTGTCTGGGGATTGGTCCTGCTTTGTGCTGGGGGTTGGACTAGATGACCTCCTGAGGTCCCTTCCAACCCTGATATTCTATGACTCAGGCTCAGACTGCGGGGCTGTTCCATTGCTGCATAGACTTCTGGGCTCTGCCTGCAACCTGAGCTCTGGGACCTTCCTACCCCACAGGGCCCTAGAGCCCAGGCTCCAGCCCTAGCCTGTAAGTCTACACTACAATTAAACAGGCCTGAGCCCTGAGAGTCCAAGTCAGCTGGCACAGGCCAGCTGCAGGTTTTTCTCAGACCCTTCCCCTTTAGTTGGGAATTGTTGTCCAATATCAGCATTACCCTTCAGCACTTCCTTTTTCTCTGAAATTTCTGCAAGGACACTAGCTAGGATAAAATTGCAAGGCGATCCCAATTCCCATAATTGGAGCATAATGTGAACAGTTTCTACAGTTAGCAAGGAACTGTTAGCCTTTCCACTTTCTCCCATCTCCTCAGTATCATGACAGCATTTTGGATGTCAAAAGTTAACAGACTCAGACAGTGGGATAAGACCAGATCATCATGGAAGAAAGGGAAGCAATAGTCTAAATTTAGTGATTCTACATGTTTCTCCAGTGAAGCTTCCTTTAACCCAGGCTGTTGGGAAGAGAAGAATCCTCTTTGCTAGTCTGGTTCCTGAGCTTGATACTTTTCCCTGCAAATTTGGGGATTCAGTTCTTATCTTCATCTCTATCCTTGTGCACTGCAGGTATGAAGAAGCTCTGTATGACTTCAGCATGGCCCTCACTCACCTAAGAAATAACCCTTTCATTGACTACAAACAACTGGGACTAAGGCATATGCTCTGTGCCTGGGAGGTGAGTGTGTGGGTGGGTAGGAGATATGTCTTTACTTATCGGCAATGGAAAGCCAACCAGATGCTTTCCAAGCTGTGTCCATCATAATTTCAGTGTTTGACGGTAAAACCCTGATATCCAGATCTATATGAGGATATGAGTGTGCTGCCAGTCCAACTTGCACAATACACCTCTACCTCGATATAACGCTGTCCTCGGGAGCCAAAAAATCTTACCGCGTTATAGGTGAAACAGCGTTATATTGAACTTGCTTTGATCCACCGGAGTGCGCAGCCCCGCCCCCCCGGAGCACTGCTTTACCGCGTTATATCCAAAGTCATGTTATATCGGGTCGTATTATATCGAGGTAGCGGTGTATTAGCACTGCTCTGGAGCTTACCCGCTAGCTTGGGAAAACTGGGAGAAAGTGGTCTAATTCCAAAATTCAAACAGTATTTTTATATTGAGAGAGTGAGTATCTGAAAAGAAGTGTGTACAGAACATGTGAATGGAGATGAGACCACCCAACTTTCTCTCTCTAGTTCTACTGAGATTGTTGAGTTGCAGTTAATCCAGTTAAGGAGTAGAGAGTGGTTCCTGAGAGGCACGGGTTTTTCCTTAAATTTCATCCCAGTAGAATGCATATCAGTGTTGCAATGAGCTAAAGATGCCGTCTTTGGCCAGACTGCAGTCTCTGTAGAGATCCCTTGAGACCAATACCAGTGTTGTGCATAAATTTTGAGAATGGAAGCATGAGCAAAAACCACATATCCATGTTCCTGTACACAGAAATGTCACATTATCTGCTGCTTATCACAGGTCCACCTGTCACGGATTCACAGGGCTGGTCTATGCCCCACCCTGTAACCCATCCCTTGGGAGTGACCCTTTTAGTGGGCCGGGCACCAGGGAACCACACAGTTCCACAGGGCAGGCTATAGTGTCTCAGACTCCGAGACTGGGCCTTTGGGCACCAGTGGTCCCTGTCTCTTTCCGTGGCTATCTGCAGCAAATCCAGGTTGTCCTGGAGTCTCCAGAAATGAAAGATTAATCTTTAATTAAAGATTATGTTGTGTGATGAGACCTCCAGGAATACGTCCAACCAAAATTGGAAACCCTAAAGGCTGGTACTGTACCCAGTCAGAGCGCAAGGCTCACAGTGAGTACTTGCAGCAACACAGGCAGCCTTTTCAAAACAAGGTAACAATTTATTAATCACCTGGCTACAGAATCTGAGAGTTCTTAGGTTAGCACAGGAAAGTAAAAGTTAAGGCATAGTCCGTCCTGGCCACGCCAATGCAATGAAAGCTGTTTTCAACTCCAGTTCTGGCTCTGTCTCTTTGCCTTCATTCCAGATGAGAGCTGCTGAGTCCCTCCACAGGGCAGCCCTTATTCCAGCCACCTGACACCTTTTTGCCTTTGTTCTCCAGCTGAGTTCGCATGTTCTGCCTGGGGGGCGGAGTTCCTTCTATTAGGTGTCAACTGTTCAGTCTTCAGGGTGGGGCAAAGGGTGGGGGTGGGGGTCTTATTGTCTCTTCACATCCTCTGTTGACCTGCATTAGTTGCAACCTGTTAATGACCCAGCACAGCAAAGTGACACACATACCTCATGGAGCTGTTCCAGAAGCAGTGTTAACCCTTTTGCACCCACAAGGTAGCAATGCAAAGTATAGAAGGAAACTGAGGCACACATAAATTCCTAAAAATAGGACAGCAAATTCCCATTTCTTCACACATCCCATGGGCCTAACTGGAAGACATGGCCCTAAGAATGCAAACTTTGAACAAATCCCAAGTGGTAGTTAACAAGGCCTAGTCTGCAGCTGGTAATGTTATTGGGCACATTCTTTTAAACTCCCAATGTTCTGTCCAATAATTATAAATGTAAACACAACAAAAATTATTGCTGCACCATATAAAAGAAAGACAATTTACACAACACTGGAAATAATCTTAATGTCTGTGTATGTTCTTTACTCAGTGTATATTATTGGGGATTCTATCCCATGTGTCAGATGTGATGGGTTGTTGCGACTTCCCCCAGCTCATGCACAGTGAATTTCTGTTTACACCTCTCTGAGGAATTAAGGGACAGAGGTCACAGACTAGTGCAGACTGTGTAACAAAGGGGTTTTGAGAAGTGAAAACATTTTAAACACAGATGCAGCTGTTGTACAGGGGCATATTTTTAGCTAGTCTCCTTTACATTACTTTGTTTCTTGTGTCCTGAGTCTTTTTGGATGCACTGAAAATCAGGTAGAAAAAAGAGAGAGTTTAATATTTAGACTCCCCTAAATATGAAAAGAGTCATTGTGTGTCTCCACAAAAAGAACAGGAGTACTTGTGGCACCTTAGAGACTAACAAATTTATTAGAGCATAAGCTTTCGTGGGCTACAACCCACTTCGTCGGATGCATATAGACAGTCAGACAGGTCCCAGAATCTGTCAGGCGACTTTATTCATGCATGTGCTCCTTAAAATGCAATGCGCTAAAGCTTCTATACAGCAGCAGTGTGACTTTATGGATCTCTCCCTGCATTTCCTTCTACTCTGTTGTCATGCCTTTGAAAACAATGGGTATGCCTTTTGAGAGTGCAGGGCCCCAGGCACATCTGAAGGGTGGCTGGGGGAATGGGATTGGTGCACACGCTGGCAAGCACAAACATTTATTCATGAAGCATCCTTTAGAAGATATCAAGATGTGTATTCACACCATGTTGACCCTCTAATGTCCTCTGAAAAGGTTTCACATTTTGCAAAATATGAAAACAAAATCCCATTGGAGGATTTCACCATCAGCACACATGTATGGCGATGGTGATAAATCATCATTTGTGATTAATGCTCTAATGATCTGCTTTCATCTGAGTATCTCAAAGATCTTTACAAAAATAAGGGCTAAACCCAGGTCCCACACAAGCTTTTTGGAAAAAATAACCCCAACTATACATACAATTTGATGGGGGCTAATTTAGCTACAACAAATCAGGAAAAAGATCTTGGAGTCATAGTGGATAGTTCTCTGAAGATGTCCACGCAGTGTGCAGAGGCGGTCAAAAAAGCAAACAGGATGTTAGGAATCATTAAAAAGGAGATAGAGAATAAGACGGAGAATATATTATTGCCTTTATATAAATCCATGGTACACCCACATCTTGAATACTGCATACAGATGTGGTCTCCTCATCTCAAAAAAGATATACTGGCTCTAGAAAAGGTTCAGAGAAGGGCAACTAAAATGATTAGGGGTTTGGAGAGGGTCCCATATGAGGAGAGATTAAAGAGGCTAGGACTTTTCAGCTTGGAAAAGAGGAGACTAAGGGGGGATATGTTAGACGTATATAAAATTATGAGTGATGTGGAGAAAGTAGATAAGGAAAAGTTATTTACTTATTCCCATAATACAAGAACTAGGGGTCACCAAATGAAATTAATAGGCAGCAGGTTTAAAACAAATAAAAGGAAATTCTTCACACAGCACACAGTCAACTTGTGGAACTCCTTACCTGAGGAGGTTGTGAAGGCTAGGACTATAACAGCGTTTAAAAGAGAACTGGATAAATTCATGGTGGTTAAGTCCATTAATGGCTATTAGCCAGGATGGGTAAGGAATGGTGTCCCTAGCCTCTGTTTGTCAGAGGGTGGAGATGGATGTCAGGAGAGATATCACTTGATCATTACCTGTTAGGTTCACTCCGTCTGGGGCACCTGGCATTGGCCACTGTCGATAGACAGGATACTGGGCTAGATGGACCTTTGGTCTGACCCAGTACGGCCATTCTTATGTTCTTATGTTCTGTTAAGCTAATGAGAGTTTTACCACTGAAATCCATTGGACCATAGTTTAGCCTTAATTAATCCCCACAACACCTCTGTGAGGTGCATAAGTATTATTATCCATGTGTCAATAACAATGAGGAATAGGACTTAGTTCTTCTGGCTCCTAGTCCTATGATCTTACCGGCAGACCATGGCCCATCTCAGGTTATGTGCTTATTTTCCTCACACCAATTCACTGCTCCAGCATCTGCCACTCGGACAGGGATTTCCCTACGCCCGCCCTGAATTTCCCCAACACCCCCCCCCCCCCCCAGTTTTGTGAACTATTTACATGCAGTGTTGCCAGTTTAGTGATTGTTTGGAAATTTGAATTGAAATTGAAACATTAATACACACTTTAAAAGCATATAAAGTGTATGATAAAATACGTGTATCTGAAAAAATGTAATAGATTTGAAAAGCATGAACATAGACTAGGTTCCTTATACAGCTGTTGTTTTTTATGACCATGTCAGTACATTCATTTCGGTGATGTTGGCCAACCTAATAATTTCAAATGATGATTTATAAGCAAAGTCTAAATGAGCTCTCCCTGACAGCTAGTGATGAGCTGGGGGGAAAGGCTTCAGGACCAGATTGTATTTACATTCACACCTAATCTACCTAGGTATCCAGCAAACAGAGCTGTGTTACCCAAGTGATAGATTTTGGCTGGGGTTGGGTTACAGATCACTTGAACGTGTGTGTGTGTGGGGGGGGGATGAAATGTTGTTATTCTTATTGTATGAGTAAAGGGCAGAAGAACTGTACTTAGCCTGTGCTGATTGAGGGCATCAAGAGAGAGGGTGGGGACAGGTGTTTTGCTTGATGGTCTGCCTGAGTCACAAGTACTATTTGACCTTCCCCTCTGCACTGTTTAAAGACAGAGCTGATTAGGCTCCATAGATAGTCTTTTGTTCTGTTAAGTGACCACTGCAGCTGAAATCTCTGATAATCAGGGCTAAGTGCCTGCTGTGAGGACAGTGTTTCTGTGGAAGAGATGGCCCAGTCTGCACTAGCAGCGAGGTTCCCCCACTGAGAGCTCAGCTGAAATCACTGAGAGCTGGGTGGAACCTCAAGAGACCAACTCGCAGAGGTCACAGTGGCAGGTGGCAGCAGAAGGTGACTGTGCAGGGCCATTGGTAACAGAGCGATGGAGTGAACGGTGGCACAATGAACAGCAGTGGCCAGAGCGAACAGT